TTCACAACATTAAGCCTTCCTATCCATGAGCAGGGAATATTCTTCTACTTCTCTAGACTTTTTTTTGTTTCTTGTAATAATGTTTTGTAATTTTCTTTGAATAGACCTTTTGTGCTTCTAGTTATATTTACTCCCAAATATTTAATCTTGTGATTAGCTATTGTGAAGGGTATTGTAAAGCTGGCTTTTAAGAGTCTTCAGCTTGATGTTCTTTACATGCAACATTAAGGATGTTATTGTTGTTGTAATCTGTAGAGTCACAACCGACCCATACCTGACCCTCCTGAGGGTTTTCAGGGGCAGTTAATTGCATGGGAGAAGATTGACCATACTTCTTCTGTGAAGAAGCTCGCGGATTCGAATCACGTGCCTTCAGGATTGCAGCGCAGTTTTTTGCCAGTAGGCCACCAGTGCTCCCTGATACTAATGATATTATTTGATAATTTCCATATTCTGTTGGATTGCCTTTTTGGGGGAATGAAAGCAAATAGGGATCTCTTCCAGTCCTTTGCTGGCATAGTGTGTATTATCTGCTTCTCTGGGGAGAGATGAGCAGTCTCTCTTCCTGTAAAGATTTACAGCTTTATAGAAACCCAATGGAGAGACCCTATGAATTAACGTCTACTTGAGGGTAGTTTTATTTGGGCTTCTTTTTGTTTTCCAAATGATATGCTATATTTTGCATAGAGAGATGCTAGATGACTTTAACAGCAGACTGATACATATGTCCGAAAGGTTAGAAGTGGCCAAGAGGGATTGTTGATGGCTTTTACTTTGCTGTTAAATTTTGAACATGTTGTTGTTGTTGAGTACTATTGAGTTGGAACCAACTCGTAGCTGACTCTCTGGTGGGTTTTCAGTTAATCGCATGGGAAGAGATTGTCTATCTTTGTCCAGCAGAGCAACTGGAGTATTTGAGCCACGTACTTTTGGGATTGCAGCGCAGCTTCTTACCACTTGGTCACCAGACCTCCGTACCCAGTCCTGCTCATCCTCAGAGTTGTTGCTATTTGAGACCATTGTTTTCAGAGAGGATCTTACTTTTTATTTGCAGACCCTTAAAACAACAACAAAAATTATGATGTCTGTCTCTAGGGATTAGCCCTTCCTGATAGTGTTTCCAGAGTATGTGAGACAAAGCTTCATTGTCCTCACTTGTAAGGGGTATTTTGGCAGCACTTCTTCCAAGACAGATTTGCTTGTTCTTTTAGCTGTCCATATTCAGTATTCTTGTTTATGTTCTTAGGTTTTCCTTATTCCCTGTCCAGCATTTATTTGCGTGCATATGTGGTAATTAAAAATGCCATGGCTTGTATCAGGCACAAAGTGACATCTTTGTTCTTGAAAGTGGACCTTTGCAGCAGATTTGCCCAATAAAATGCAATGCCTTTCTTTTTTAAAATTTCTTAACTACTGAGTCCATGTATATTGATTGTGAATCCAAGTACAGTAAAATCCTTGACAATCTGTCTTTTCTCCATTTATCATATTATTTGTCCAGTTCTGATGATTTTGTGTTTTTTAAAGTGTAGTACATAGTCTTTGGTCTTCGTTAAGTACTTCAAATTCTCCTTCCTTTTAGTAACCAAATTGTTGTCATATGTATATTGCAGGTGGTTAATGATTCTTTTTACCAATCATGATATCAGGTTCTTTTTACCGTATAGCTTTTCCAATTTTTTTGTTCAGTGTACAGTCTAAATAAGTATAGCAAGAGAATACAACTCTGATGCACATCTTTCCAGATTTTTAAGACACCTATATCTCCTTTCCTCAACAACTATTAAACTGCTATTTAAACAGCTGTCTCGTAGTCTATGTGTAGGTGCTGTACGAACATAGTTAAATGTTCTGGAACTCCATTTTTTTTTGTGTGTGTTCCACATAAATTGTTATGGTCTACACAGTTGCACAAGCAGTAAAACACAGGTGACCATTTCTTTGCTTTCAGCCACCATCCATCTGATGATGTCAGGAATAATAAATTAGTTACACTTAGGATTTTTTGGAGGATATCTTATAGTTTTAGGTACTCTGCTACATGTTGTACTTACATTGTTTTGTTCCATTTTCTGTCAGACTCTCTTGAGTAGAGGAGCATCTTAAGGGGCTGTATAGATTTTTTTTTAATGAAAGTTTACAGAGACTTTGGGTTTCCATTCATTCATTGTTGCACTTTTCTCCTTTCCCACCCTTCTCCCCGCCCCAGTTCACTCTTGTCTTTGAAAATGGAAAGAAAAATTCTTTCATTGTTACGCAGTCCCTCTTCCCAAGTCCACTCCACTATGCAGCCTTCGTTCTGGACTCATGTCATGACAATAATACCTAATAATATATCCCTTTTAAACCATTCTCTCCCTCATCTGTTTCAAGGCAGTATACATAATTTGTCATATCTTTCTCAGTCTTCCCCCAACCCTGAAGTCAGACCCTGTTTTACAGCCATGTCACTATGCAGTATTTGTCATTTTGTAACTGAGATATTTCACTCAGCATAGCATAATGTCCTCCAGCATCACCCATTTTGAATACTATTGCATGAGTTCCTTGTTTTTCAGTGCAGCGTAGTATTGTGTGAATATACCACAGCTTCTCTATCCATTTGTTTGTTGATTGGCACTTACGTTGTTTCTAACTCTTTGCTGTTGTGAACAAAGCTGCGATAAACATGGGTGTGAATATATCTGCTTGGGTGGTAGTTCTGGTTTCTTTGGGGTATATTCCCAGCAGTAGAATTGCTGAGTTAAATGATATTTCTATTTGCAACTTTTTAAGAACTCTCCATACAGCCTTCCATAGTGGTTGCACCATCTTACACTCTCACCAACAGTGAATAAGGGTGCCACTTTCTCCACAACTTCGCCAGCATTTGTTGTTTGCTGTTCTGTTAAATTTTGCTATTCTGACTGGGGTGAGATGATATCTCATAGTTGTTTTGATTTGCATCTCTCTTAGATCTAGGGATTTTGGACATTTCTTGATGTGCTTGTTGACCATCTGAATGTCTTTTTGGTGAAGTGTCTGCTCATAGCCTGTGCCCATTTTTCAGTTGGGTTGTTTACCTTTATCTTGTGGTTGGTGCGCATGTATTTTATAAATTCTGACATGTCATTACCAAATATTTTTTCCCAGTCTATGGCTTCCCTTTTTACCCTGTTGGAGGAGATGTTGGATGTACATAGGAGATACTTTTCACTGTAGTTCATGATAAATAAGTTAGCTTAGTGCCTAGCACTTACTAAACTACAGTAAGTGGTAGTTACTAATACCATGTTGTTATTTATTGTCTTGTTTTTGTAGATGAGACTGTTAAGGCACAAAGAAAAGAAATAACTTTTCTGAGTCACTTAGCAAATATGTGGGATATCCTGGATTTTACCCTGTCTGGTTTCAGAGCTCTCTTTTATACTCTCTTTAAAGGAAGAAAAAACCCAAAACTCCGTGCTGTCACAGCATGCCAGTCAGGTTTTTGTTCAAGTCTTGTTTAGAGCTTCCTGAACTTCTTTAAACATTACTGTTCAGAAATTATAGTAATTTGTCATAAGATAAAAATAAAATAATTGGATGAATAGATTCCTGCAACTAAATGAAAACAGTTTGTTTTTTCATTACACATTGAGTCAGTGTAAACTATTTAAACACATTTGTAAAAATGATACAGTGAAAATCCATGAAACTGCCATACAGTGTGGAACTTTCTTTTTTATTTCCTTGCTTTGTTTTTAGTTTTGTCACATATGTTCAATCACTAAAACAAAATATTATTTCATTACTCTAAAATAAAATTGTACATTATGTATTCTTATTATGAAACTAAGTTTCTCTTTCAACTAAGTTCATTTTTATGAGCTATAGCCATGTGTTATTGAGTACAACTTTGAATTATTAGTTTCACTGTATTTTGTAAATTTACAGTTTTTCTTCCAGTCTGCTTGTGATGGATCTTTAGTGTGTCCATATTTTTTTCCCTTACTTCATTTTTAATGAATATTGCGTATGTTTCTTAAAAGTATCTGTGTAGAAGAGTTTCTTCAGATTATGTACCAGCAGGCATGATTTGTGCACTGCTTTATGATTGTCCCAAGTCATGTACAGTTTTATGCACTCACCGTCAGTGAAAATATTTTACCAATTACATATTTAAAGTTTAAAATTGTGGGGGTTTTTGTCTTGTTAATAATACCTAAAGTGACTGTTAAACATTTTCAGAATGTTAATTAAGACTATTACCATATAAAATCCTACTGAATTTCAGTTGCTGCTGTTTTTATAATATGTAAAATCTTTTGTGATTTTTTTTTTAATTCAACTGAATTGGCTTTTATTAGTTAACTAAAATATATTCTGTGTGTATTCTTAAGTAGTTTGCTAATAGTGGAGAAATCTAAAGTATTCACTTAGTTTTGCATACTTTTTTTTTTAAAGTTAAGGTAATAGAAAGAAACTAATTCCACATTGGTCTCCTTTATGCCCTCCCCCAGTTGGTACATCAGCTTACTTTTACTTGTGGTAAACCATTTGTCATGTTTGGTTGCTGAGAGAAAAAAAAATGATAAAACTTGACATTTCTAACTTGAAATCCATTTAAGTAAAATGTTACTGACAGGACAGAATTTCTTATTTTAAGGGCATAATTGTACAGAAAGACAGCCTTAATATAAGACTGGCCTCTAGAGAGACTCTTTTGCCAATTTAAAAACCGCCTTTTATGTTCTAGCACCAGTATGCATGAGCGAGTGCACCGAACAGAAAGACAGTTTCGATCACTTCCTGATAATCAACAGAAACTGCTTCCTCAGTTTCCTCTTCACTTGGACAAGATCCGGAATTGCATTGACCATAATCAAGAAATACTACTGACCATTGTGAATGATTGCATACATATGTTTGAAAATAAAGAATATGGAGAAGATGTATGTGAAAGTTTGTTATGTTTGCTTTCATTTGGGGGATTACCTCTGAGTTTTTCCTTCCCGATTTGTTTTATACAGGTCTTTTTGCTCACAGAGCTTTATTGAGATACTCAGTCATGTAATTAGGCTTAGTTGGTAATAGAGCAGTGTATCAGAATCTAAACTTGCAAATGGAGTTTTTTTAAATACTAAAATTTTTCATTTGCATTTTTATATGTTTCACATGGTATTCTGACTCTTTTTGGCATATAAAATGTAAACAACTTTATTAGCTCTATAAAATTCATTCCCCCAGCTAAACATTTTTTCAGTATCTTGTATCTAATGATATGCATCTTCTACGTTAAGAAATTAGTTTCCCTTCTAAATCTCAAGAGGCTGACAGTATTAGGACCTGAAGCCCTCTTCTTATATCCACAGGGTAGGTACTGTTGGGCCACTGCACTGTGAGACTCTCCATGCTACCCCATCTGTGACCGGGAGGGGCTTTACAGCCCTTCCTTAAGAGAAAGAAGATGTCTGTCTCCATAGCAGCTCAGTTCTGGTCCTCTCCTGATTAAGGACTGCTTAATTATATGGTGGTTTTGATTAATGGCCCTTAATCTATCGAGGATTGAAGTGAGACTACCAGATTTTTCATTTAGGATCTCAACATGCATTGAACTCTGGTTTAGGTATTTCTCCACACACTGCCTCTAGAGCCCTACCGTAGCATGTCTATTTAACCATATTCTACATGAATTGTCATCATAGAAGCCAATTGATTTCTGATGTGTTGGTTTTTTGTTTGTTTTTAACCAGGGGAATGGAAAGATTATGCCGGCATCTACATTTGACATGGATAAATTGAAATCCACATTAAAACAGTTTGTGAGAGACTGGAGTGAAACTGGGAAAGCAGAGAGGGATGCCTGCTACCAGCCAATCATTAAAGAAATATTAAAAAATTTTCCAAAAGAAAGATGGTAAATAGCACCTTATTTTTAACCACATTCTTTCCAATGTAAACATTTTGATTTTCTCTAAGACATTTCACAATTTTAATTCCTTTTTATAGCTGTCTGCCTGTATGTGTGAGGGTTACATTTATTATAGGTGCTTTGTCCATATAGAATATGTAATAGCATGTACACTTCTTGTCATAATGTAAAAAGTGTAATTTTAATGTGAAAATACTGTCTAGTATATAGTTTGAGAGACTCAAGTGTAATATGAAAAAAATTATATACAGGAGTTTTATTGGTAAAAATGTTCCAAGTTCTGCTAAAGCTACTGTTTGTTGCCTACATTCATAGTTAAAGGAAAAAGTCAGCTAAAGATTAGTAACAGTTAAAAATACCTCCCATTCAGTTAATGGATTTAGTGATGTCTGTCCATGGATCCCAGGTTACAAAGAGAGAAACTAGAGAGAACTTCAGACATTTATTTGAAGGTTGCTGTTAATTTTTTAAAATTACAAAAATGTCCTAGGAATTATGGGGAGACCTCTCATATACCCATTACCTACATTCACCGGGTTTGAATATTTTACCACATTTCCTTTTTTTTTTTTCTCTGCATGTGTGTATGAATTTTTCAAATATATTTGAAAGTTGATTTTCCTGTGGCATACATCTTGACTGCCTTATAATTTAGAATTTCTGTCCTAAGAGCAGCTGTTTTCTCTTAGAAACAGTGCCACTTTGAAATTTAGCATTGACATTATTTCATATCTTTCATAATGTTTATTTTCCCCATCAAAATTAGAATCCCATTGAGAGTATTGTAATTATCTCTAATTGTCTTTTCTTTTAATTGCAATAGTTTACTGGCCTTTGTCTTTTAAGATACTATTTCAAAACAAAATTCAAGGAAGTTGGTTTTTATAGACTGTTCCTCAGTTTAAGACTATTTGACGATTCTTCTTGATTGTTGTTGTGTACTGTAGAGTCAAAACTGACCCATAGCTGACCCTCTGGCAGGTTTTCAGAGGCAGTTAATCACATGGGAGGAGATTGCCCATCCTTGTCCCACAGAGCAGCTGGTGGCCTCAAAATGCATGCCTTTGGGATTACTGCACAGCTTCTTGCCACTAGGCCACCAGAGCATCCACTCTTCATGATTAGATCTAGATTATATATCCCTAGGTAGAGTGATCTGAAGTCTGGCTTATTTTGGTCATGTTATTAGGAGAGATCAGTCCTTGGAGAAAGGTACCATGCTTGGTAAACTAGAGGATCAGTGAAAAAGAGGAATATCCTTCTGCGTTGACATAGTGTAGCAGAGGTGTCTTAGTTATCTAGTGCTACTGTAGCAGAGATACCACACAAATAGATGACTTTAACAATTGCAAATTTATTTTCTTACAATGTAGGAGGCTAGAAGTCCAGATTCAAGATGCCAGCTCAAGGTGTTTGAATGCTTATGTGTGCTTGTGCTGTCCGTTCTCGAGGGAAATCCTTGTTTCTTTCAGCATTTGTAGGCCTGGCATTTCTTGGAGCGCTGCATATGTCTTTGGTCTTCCCTGTTGTCAAGGAAGGTACTCATACTGGGGCCTAGATCTGAAAAGATACACTCCACTCAACTCCTGACAGTTCTTTCTTGGTGATACTAAAGTCCTACCACACTCTGAACCTCGTTGGCTCACTTTCTTCGTTTAGTGAGAGAAAAGACAGGTCACACAGTAGGGAAATTCTCCTTAATCAGATTAGGGCTGTAATGGGATTAAGGGCCTTTACATTCTGGCCTTAATCTTTTTACAAGATTCATCCGATCAGTAAGGATCATGACATAGCTTCCATATTATGTCTTTACACTCATGTATTTGGGGAGGAAGGGAGAGCTCTGGTGACTAGGCTGTGAGAAGTGGAACTGCTAACCTAAATGCTAATGGTTCAAATCTATCAACTTCATGGGAGAACGATGAACAATCTCCTCCTGTGAGATTTACAGCCTCTGAACACCTGGTGGAGGGTCCACAAGGTCTTGATAGCAATGAGTTTAAGAGTTTTTTATTTGGTGGATAGAGGGGAGACATTTCAACCCATGATGCATTGCCTCTAACCTAGCTTTGTACATTTCCTTGCTTTGTACATGAGATTTGTACAGAGTTGGGATTGATGAGATTGTACTTAGCACTTGACATTATATTCTCCCAAGGGCTTCATCACATCCATTCTGTCATCAATATGCCCTTCATTGGCAATGCTGATTTTTTATTACCCTTTTAGAATGTTTGATTTCTCTATAATTGTCTATTTCTCTTTTTGCAATAATTTTTGAGAGCCCATAAGTAATATCCTTTTCCTTATCAAACTTTCTCCCCTAGAATTACTATCATATACTCAGATTCCTGTGTAAACCAGTCTTTATTAAGCTGGTTGTGGGCTGGTAATTCCCAAACTCAGCTCTTCTCTCTGTAATTATTCCTACTTCATTTAGGAGTGGTTTAATATTAAGAATCTAGTATTCTAAATGCTAAATTCTTAATATTAAACCATTCAGTACGTTTTAATATTAAGAAAAGCATGTGTCAGGGTTCAAACCTTTCTCCATACGTATTTTATCTGTATGCTGAGCAACTTGTTTGAGAAGATGCAGTCCATGAAGAACAGTATAACACAGAATGGAGGAAAACTTGTCAGTAACTTTGAGTATGCACATGACACAACCTTGCTTGATGAAAATGAGGAAGACTTGAAACACTTGTTGCAGAAAATCAAACACTGCAGCCTTCACTATATTGCATCTCAATATCAAGAAAACAGAAATTCTCCTGCTTGCTTCGGCAGCACATATACTAAAATTGTAATGATACAGAGAAGATTAGCATGGCCCCAGCACAAGGATGATACACAAATCCATGAAGTGTTCCATGTTTTTAAATGGAAACAGCCCAAATGTCCAACCACAATTGAATGGATTGAGAAATTGTGGTACATTGACACGATGTAATACTACGTAGCACACAGGAGCAATGATTTTGTAAATTACTACCTAACTTGGGAGGGACTGGAGAGTATTATGCTGAGTGAACTAACTCAATCCCATAAGGACAGATACTTTATAAGACCATTTTTGTAAAATGAGTATGAGGATCCAAGGGGCAAGAGGGTGGGAGCAGAGGAGTGAGGATGGGAGGCCATTAATAATAGGGTCTCACAATTTTATGGGCGGGTGTGAAAGAAATGGGAAAGATCCAGTGTGAAAAACAATGTGGTCAGACTTTGTAAATGAACTGGTATAAAATAAAAATTTTTCCAAAAAAATAGTTCTCATCACTGTACCAATGGACAGCATCGTGGTAGATAAAGAAAAAGCTGAAACATCGACTTCCACAATAAATAACACTTGATACCAGCAGTCAGGAGTTGTATTGCATTGGGAAAATCTGCAGTGAAGGACCTCTCAAAATTATTGAGGAACAGTGATACCAGTTTGAGGACTAAGGTGCACCTGATTCAGTCTTTTCATTCATTTGTTAAGCGTCAGAGAGTTAGACAGTGAATAAGGATGACAGAAGAAAAGGTCATGCCTTTGAGCTGTGTGTTGGAGAGTACTGAATAGCTCTTAGACTGCCAAAAGAACAAACATATTTTAGAGAACGTGAAGCCAGAGGGCTGCTTGGCAAGGGTGACAGAATTTCATCTCACATCCTTTGGACGTGTTTCTAGGAGAGGCTGTTCTTTGGAGAAGGACGTCATGCTTGGAAAGGTGGAAGGATGGCAAAGGAGAGGAAGACCCTCAACCGGGTGGATTGACAGCATGGGTGGAATGACTGCAGCAATGGGCTCAAATGTATCAACAAATCTGTTGTACATGGGGATGCTATAAATCATACTCAGCTGGATGGCACCTAACAGCAGAAACAAAAGATAGCCATTCCTGCTCCCAAAACTCTATATCATATCAGGATGGATACATTGTTCTTCTTTAGTGAATATAGTCTTTAATTGTCTTAGAATTGATTCTGACTCTTGGCAACTTGAATTCAGTAGTGGAATTGCATGGTAAGGTTGTCTTTTGTTGTTGTGTGCTGTTGAGTAAGAAGCTGCACTGCAATACTGAAGGCATGTGGCTCAGATCCACCAGCTGCTCAGTGGGAGAAGGATTGGCAGTCTGCCTCTGAAAACCCTCCAGAGGGTCAGTGATCTGGTACTCGACTCGATGGTATGCAAAGTAACTACCCTGTGATCAAGGGTCACTGCCCTTTTCTGAGCCAGACTCACCATCTCCCATACACCTGACCCCATTGCCACACTCACTGGCAATCCGTCGCATCCAGTATCTTCCTCTCTTGCGTAGACCTTCTACTCTTCCAAGTGTGATGACTTTTGCCAAGGATTGGTCCCCTCCTGACAGCCTCAAGTATGTAAGATGGAGTTTGTGCTAGAAGGTTGTCTGACTACAATGTTAACTCCAGGCCTTTTTTCTGTGTTGCTGCTGAATGAGTCTGAACCACATTCTGATACATACTGCCTGTGCCACCTACAGGCTTTTATAGTACATTGCTGCTGTTCAGTTTTTGACAGAGATCGTGTCTTTATAATGGGGTAGAGTTTTGGGATTTTTAAAAGAGTTTAATCTAAAATAAAATTTAAAAAAACCAAAATACCAGTCAAATACCTTTGCATTTTCAATAAAACACAAACATTCTTCTGGTACTTTAAAAAAAAAAGTTTAATCTATTTATTGATTTTAAAATTAAGGTTTTCTTTTAAAAATACACTTAGTAAAGTGAAGACAAAAAGAAAAATTTTTTCCATGTCTTTATTGTTGTTGTCTACCATCAAGTTGAAACCGACTCATAGCAGAGCCTCCAGTGGATTTTCAGAGTCAGTTAATCACACAGGAGGAGATTGTCCATCCCTCTCCCATAAAAAAATTTTAAATAACGTTTGCAAGATGCCTCCTTTTACTCACTTCTAATCCATTCTTTACCAGTTGCTTTAGTGTCTTCCCCAGTATGTTTTTAATCAAAGTAATG